GCGCTAGCCGTCCCTAATTTAGCAGTGTAAGACTAGAGGGAAGGCAGCTAGTCATCCCACCCCACTCTTAGGCTACTCTTATACCAACGAATAGTGGGATTGGCCGTTACATTATAACGTCGCCACGGGTGAAAGGGCGAGCATGTTTGGTGTGATGGGGATTCGGACACGTGACCCGCAGATTGCGAGTCAGCACCCTCACCACCTGGCCATGCCAGGGCTCATGACATGATAGATTACTTATTGTATTTATGGATAGCTCATGGAAATAAATACATTTACAGTTTTATTTATTTTGTATTTTCGGTGTCCTTCACTAAGTTTTGTATTTCTTGCTCTTTTTTGTTGTTTGTTCTATCTAGCTTATTAATTTTGTTAATTAAAATACTCCCAGAATCATCACAGGGTAATAAGTTTAACACTTATTCAGATATTAAACATTTAATGAAATTACGCTGAAAATGAAAAGCTTTAATTCATATGTTTAGCGTTTTTGGAAATTAATTATGATAATATTAGTGACGTATATTAATTTCTAGGGCACTCAATTCCTGATCTTCGGATCGCGAATCCCCATCACACCAAACATGCTCGCCCTTTCAACCTTGGGGGAATTATAATGTGACGGTCAATACCACTATTCGTTGGTAAAAAAGTAGCCCAAGAGTTGTCGGGGGGTAATGATGACTAGCTGCCTTTCTTCTAGTTTTTCACTGCTAAATTAGGGACGGCTAGCGCAAATAGCCTTTGTGTAGCTTTTCGCAAAATTCATAACAAACTACTTTCTTTCCTAGAAAACTGCAACCATTTAATATATGTTTTATTTCAAAGATTTGTCCGAGTTCTACGTAACGTTAAACACTTATTAGTGCCGTTTACATGCAGTAATTTTTATCCCTGCTATACTGAGGGGTTAACTACGTAATGGGAAATACAAAAATTATAGTAATTATTACATCATCAGTTGATATTCGTAATAGACTACATTAACGTAGTTACCAACATTTAACTAAAATTAAAATCATGTATAACTTTTATCAGCTTTTTTATATGTATATTTTAGTCAGTTGCGTTAGTAACGGAATCTAGACATCTACATTATTTCTGGCAGCAAGGGTTATTAGCCCTGCCTGGTAATAAATTAATACGCCACCTGTTCCCCGTTCCGAGAATTCAGTAAAGGACTGGCTTATCAAAATTCTGCAAAATTACAGTGACAGTCTTAATCTTTGTAAAAAATAAATTACTGGCTTTTTTTTTTTTTTCTCTCTCTCTTTTCCAAAGATCATCAAATAACTTAGTCCGTTTTGAAAGGGAGTCGTTTTCTATATAATTTGCAAGCGGTAAGTTTACGGACTTATGATGTTAAAATGCGGGGCTCGATTCCCTTCGGTAGACACAGCAGATACCCCAATATGGCTTTTCTCTAAAAGCAAACGAAATTAAATTGTTATGTGGAACGTGAAAATTCGAAATAGATATAACTTTAGAACAAGCTCACTTCTAAAAATTACAACTGCAACATGAGTCACACGTTTTTCATCGCATATTCAAGTATCCTGGGAGAACAGGAAACCGAAATGCGGAAATATGAAAGGAGAATTAAATTTGGTTCAACTAGCTGATATAATCTTAAGACAATCAAGCTAATAATGACAAGGATTAGCTTTCTGTTTTTAATAACCTTTAAGATACTCATATTTCAAATACTACCAATGCCATTAGTCAAAAATACTTCTCACGTCTGTCTTCTGATAAAAGGTTCGAAACCTCTGACAAATCTGGTATAGAGGCATCTACAATGAAAAAAATAAAAAAAGTT